TGGCTTTGAATTGTGGCTCGTGGGAGGTTTTCCTAACAGGCCTTGCGTTTCAGGGACGTGGGGCGATCGTTGTTTGTGATCAGTCTCCCAACACCGATCTAGCCAACCAGCTAACCCGCCCGGATGTCGTAAGCTGCAAGATCCAAAGCAAGGACAATCATGGCGGAGACTTTCGCGTTTAACGCGGACATCCAGCAGCTGATGAGTTTCTGGGCACATTCCATCTTCATGTCTCCGATTCATAAGCAATCATTAGCAGATGCCCGAAAGGTGTGCGTGTGTGTATATATATATATATGTATATATGTAAAACTATCTATCCATCTATATATATATATTATATATATATATATATATATATATGTATATATATACATACATAAGTACATGTCCTGCGATATTCCGTGCACTATATGTGCACGAATGCTGGATCCGAGAGCAAACAACGATGTGTGAACAGGTGGGTTGAGCGTGCTCTATCTGTTGCCAAGGCTTGATCATCAACACCTTCTACTCCAACAAGGAGATCTTCCTGCGTGAGCTCATCTCCAACGCCTCGGATGCAGCTCGCAGCAGCAAGTCCGATGGTTCAGGATACAGTCCCTGATCTTGAGTACGTTGGAGCTGCGGCATCGGGCTGACTTCTTGGCGGGCTTCTCACTCGAAGTTCAGATGACAGCCCTAGCCATAAGAGCTGAAACAGAGGCTTTGGACAAGATCCGCTACGAATCGATCACTGATCCAGACAAGATCGAGGCAACGTGGGGACTGTGCAGCGTTGAGACATGCGGTGACATGTGTACTCCGGTCATATGCGTCTGCTGAGTCATGGGGAGCAGTCGTCAAAAAATATTTAGGCTCAGATGGTTTGGCATCATGGTATCACAGAGATGCTGTTGTGACAGCGAAAGTGCATAATCAATCCTGAAGAAAAGAAGCATCGATATTGTCCCCCCAGCGCAGGCGCAGCCCAACTTCTTCATCAAAGCTCCTGGGCCTGTTTCGGAATCGTGTGGTCGCGTGCAGCTTGTTGGGACGATGGGCAGGGTTCCATGCCCGCGACTATTCGCCCAGTGCCTGCAGCTTGATGGTCTCGTGCACCTGAGATCATCCCGGACAAGACCAATTCGACTTTGACCATCGAAGACTCCGGCATCGGCATGACCAAGAACGTTCCTCGGCCTTCATTCAATTGGAGAGTTTGCTGCAGACTTAAGACGGGGTGGAATCGGTTGTGGCAGGTTTCTTGAAAGGGGCGCGTTGTCAAGCGTCCTGTGCTCACTGCGTCAGCCTGCACCTGTCAGACTTCAGAAGCAGAGCGAAATCAAGCGAATCCTAAGGAGTTGATCAACAACCTCGGGACGATTGTCGCTCGATCGACTTATCTCTGATGTTCCCTGCTTTCAGGCTGAGGTCGACTCTTTTCAGAACTGGATGTTTCGATGCAGCAAGACTCGACTCCGAAGCCCCGTAATAGAGAAGCCTAAATCATTACCACTATGTTACCAGTAGGGTTCCTTATTACAGATATACGATATAGGACCCTATTCTAACTATTAAGGCCCCTACATTATCTCCACCGCTTCCCGCTTCCATGCGGAGGCCAAGTCCGGCACCAAAGCCTTCATGGAGGCCAGGAGACAGGGGCGGGCCCTAAGCCCTAAACCCTCAAACCCACCCTAAAACCCTAAACAAAAACCCTAAAACCCTACTTTGGAAAAGAGTCACCCCAATTGTAAAAAAAACCCTAAACCCCTAAACCCCGGAGCGTTTGAGGGCTTGTGAAGGCTGTAGGCAGCAACGATTTCTCGGAGCAGTCCCACGGCAGGCCATGGCAGCCGGCGGCGACATCTCCATGATCGGCCAGTTTCTTGGATGCAACAGATTGACGTCTCCGACCTGAAGTAGGAGGCTCGGGTAGTTCAAGGGGAGTTCAGGCCCGTGTTCGGAAAGCGACAAACCTTTGCTTTTTTTTGCACTGCTGCCCCCAGCCCGAGCTTGTCCCATCTCCGTCCCACCCTTGAAACCCCCAACGTTGTGACCTACCCCAAGTCCCATCCCGAG